AAAAAAAAAAAAAAAAAAAAAAAAAAAAAATAAGAGTAACTAAAAACTTAAAACCAGAAACAGAAAATATAATTTATAAATAAACATATTTTTAAAAAAGACTAAAGACAACTAAAAAGTATATTGTACAATAAAGAAAAATAATATAAGAAAAAATGCATTTATAAAATATATAATAAATAAACTCTTAATCTTAAAAAATTAATAGAAGATAATTAGATATATATACAACAACAGAATATTAAATATATTAAAACAAAATAAAAAAAATACAAACACATTTGGTATTATATAAAAGATAAATAAATCTTTAAAAAAGAATTCAAAAAGTGACTATTATAATAGTTTAAAAAGAATTAAAAAAAGAAAAAAAGACCTGAATTCCTTTATATATACTATATATAGTATTTTTAAAAAATAAAAACAGAAGAAATAAAAATAAGAAAAACATTAATTAAAGATTTAATTTCAAAAAAATGCAAGACTGATTAATGTAACTTTTAAGTACAAAATTAAAACAACAATTTGCAAAACAGTAGCAAAAACAACTTAAAATATTTTTTATAAACAAATTTGAAGAATACAATATAAGAAAATTAATAAGTAAAAGAAAAAAAGAGAAATAACAAACAAAATAAAAAAAGAAGAAAGAAAAAAACTCAACAAAAAGAAAAAAAACAAATTAGTAAGAGATAAAAAAAGAACAAAAGTAAGTAAAAAAAATAAATAAATTAAAAGAAAAACTAAAAAGACAATGTTGAGACTTATTATAAAAAAAAATCTTTTATTATAAATATTAAGTAGTCAAACAAGCAGCCTACTTCTGTTTGAAGTAGTATAACAGATTGCACTTAGGTACTAATAGGATGGCTGGATAATATTAGACTTAGTTGTTAAATATATCTATGTAATTGCAAAAGTACTAGCATAACTGCTTAAAAGAAAAAAATAATAAAAAAATAAAATTAAAACTGTCTATTTGTTTAATTGTTATCTTTTATTACAAAATTTTGCAATTGCTTAGGTTTTTATATTCAATTATACAATTTTTTTAATCTTCTTATTAGACCATTTTTATTTTTTACTAATGTATTATCAATTAGTAGTTTTTTTAATGTTAAAGATAAAATTATGTTTTTGGTTTTTATTTAACACATATATTATATAAAAACAATCTTATTGCATACATATTACATTATACTATGCTTAAATTACAAAACTTAATTTATTTATAATCTAAATCAACAAAATTTTTTATATTTTGCATATAGCTAACTTGAATTTAGTATTTTTTTATTACCTTTATTTGACATTTTTATATATACTGCTTTTTTATAGTAGCCTGTTTTGAACTTTTAATTTAATGTTTTAATTAGATAAGTGTTCTATGCTTTTAATTTAGTGTACGTATTCAAGCATATAGAAAATTCTCACATGCTTATAAGGATGTTAACAGAAAGAACCAGGATGTAAAAGAAATTTTTCAATTATGTAATATGTTATAAAAGTTTTTTTTTTATTTACTTTAGGTTTAACGCATATATTAAAATTTAATACTAATGGGCTTATAGTAAAATTACTCAAAGAAAAAATTTTATTTAAAGCACAAAAGACGGTTTATTAAGTTTATTTTTGAAATAATAACGATTTTATCAAAACGAACGTTTAACAGGAGGAAACGTTAATGTTACACAATTGATTTTACACACGGTGTGAAACACATAAAAAAATTTTTTTACAATACTTGAACAATCCTGATCAGTTAGCTAGTAGATGTTATGATTATAATCCAACACCATTTTTACTATAATAAAAATGGTGTTGGATTATAATCATAACATCTACTAGCTGACTGATCAAGATTGTTCAAGTATTGTAAAAAAATTTTTTTGTTTTTCACACCGTGTGTAAAATCAATTGTGTAACATCAACGTTTCCTCCTGTTCGAACGTTTGCTTTAGATCCTCCTATTCGTGTAACGTTAGACTAAACTGTGATTCACTATTGGTCAGTAATCACGTGTTCGGAAATATCACCTACATCCTGGTATCCTGATGCGTTTAACTCTAATGCTTACTAAAATAACCTAAGCATTACAAACTTTATTTAACAATTCTATAGTGCAAATTTTGATTTTTGAACTTTTATATTCTTAAATATTTAAAATTTTAAATTATAAATTTCTTATAATTAAACAATTATAAAATTTTAAATATTTATTATATTACTGTAACATTAAATAAAATAATCTATAACAACCTTAACTCCAACAACAGGACCAACAAAACTTAACCAACTTCTAATATATCCTTCTAAAGATATTATTTGTAATTTGTTATTGTTCATTTTTGAATCACTTACTATTGATGTCATTAATGTAGCAGTTTCACAAGGATGAAGATAATAAAATGGAAGTAAAAGAGTTGGATGATCCTAAATCAATAGAATATATTTGCTAGTTATAATATTTAATACAATAATTTGTTAAAATTTGTGAATATTACCTGTTGTGATATTGCACCATGAAATCCAGCACTTTTTATATCATTTTGTTTTAAAGGATGTACTAAATTTGAATAAATCTCATCATTTGTCAATAATGTTCCATCTAAAATATAAAAAATCTTGAGAAAAATTCTATGTAAGTAAAAGAAAGTATTTTGATTAAGTTGAAAAATCAATATAAAATTTTTTTATTTTACTGTAAAAAATTTTTTTGTTTTTTATTTTAAATTATATATATATAGAATTATTTATATATAAAATTAGTAATATTAAAAATTATTTTTAAACAATAATTAAAATAGTATATTGTATAATAAAGTTCGATTTAAGAAAAGGTGGGGTATTGTGACGAATTTAGGTTATCTCAGGATCTAGTGTTCCAAATTGGATAATTTTTACACCAATCGATTCGTCTCATCGAGACGAATCGAATGGTGGTTAGATCATCCAATTCTAATCACTGGATCATGAGATATTAACTATCATGTGCAATACAAAAATAATCTTTGAGGGAATTATGACGAAATGCAAACTTGCCTTTAAGGTAAGTGACTTTTGATACTATGTAAATCGGGTCTTCACGTTCTAAGTAAAGTTGTTCAGAATATAAAAATATATAAACTCTGAAACTTTAATAAGAAGATTATTCAATTTTTATTAAAATTTCAGAATCTATGTATTTTTATATTCTGAACAACTTAGACCGGTTTACATACATCAAACGTCACTTGCCTTAAAGGCAAGTTTGCATTTCATCATAATTCCCTCAAAGATTATTTTTGCATTGCACATGATAGTTAATATCTCGGGATCCAGTGATCAGAATTGAATGATCTAACCACTATCCGATTCGTCTCGATGAGACGAATCGATTGGTGTAAAAATCATCCAATCTGGACCACTATATCCCAAGATATCCTAAATTCGTCACGATACCCTTTGACAAAATACCCCCTTTCACCTTATATGATAATTAGATAAAAAAAAAAACAATAATAAACAAACCACTATTGTAGGCGTTAAAATAAAGTACAGGAACTTTATAGGATGTTGAATATATGATATGATAATCAACAGTAAAATATCCCTCCGATGCTGGTACAGTGGGTAGAGACTGTAGAAGAACATAAATGATGAGTGGGAAAGAGAAATAGTATAATGAGGAATAACTTATCGTACGCTTAGATCATCATATTCTGATATTTCATCATCAATTTGCATGAACTTATTTGTCGGGATAACGAAGTTCACTGGAGTTACTCGTTTAACCAATGATTTTCGACAAATGTAGCCGAAACCTTTTACTTTCTTTATTAATAAATAATATTTTATATTTAAATTCTACATTATTTATATTCATGAAGTTTCATTTTTTAAGCAATAACACTCAGATTCTTCTGACTCAAACCTCATGTTCAACCCAACTCCAAGGTTCTTCATCACTTGATCTTTTCGATTGTTCAATAAATAATTTAGCAGCAATGTCAAATTCCTTTCGTGTTAAAAAAGGATAATTATCCGGTAGAGACATTTTTTATATAATGAAAATTAATGATGTGACAATCAGATTAAATACCGGAAAAATGTAATATGCAATCAAGGGGATCTATCGACAAACCCTTAATTCGGGTCACAATACTAAATTTAACAAATTTATAACCCCATCCCTGGTTGGTGGTTTTCATATTGATATGCTAACATTATGTCAAAATATAACTACGAAAATTCATTGCTTCAAATTACTTTACCCACGTTGACATCTTTCAATGAATATCATCGAGAATTAATCGAATTAGCAGTTAATTGTTCTTCGACATCTTTAATAATTCACATTTCTTGCCAAGAAATTGAATTTTACAGTAATTATCCAACAAAGTGTTGGTCCGAGATTCGTGATCTATTAAACTTTTTGTATATATCAGGAACTAAAGTTGCTTACGAAACTTTAAACCATTTTCTTGAAATTGACGTTATTTTTGAAAAATGGAATGGTTATAATATTGAATTGATTAAGGAAAAGAATTTTGATGTATTTTTTGGAAGCGAAACAGGTATATTGTTTCTATTAGTTTTACAACACAATTTGAACTGAAGTCTTTATCGTTTCCAATTTAGAACAATCTCGATTGCAAGAGTTTAATAATAGTCGGAAAAAAGTTTCATTATCTGAAATACATATTCATATACTTGATACCAAAACATCACCGAAAAACGTACATGATCAGAATTATCGAAGTTGTAATGATTGTAAACTTAATGAGAACTCAAAAATATATCAAACAGTCGCTGTTGGAGGAACTTTTGATCATTTGCACGCTGGACACAAAATTTTATTAACCTTGACAGCGTGGATTGCTGGTAAGAGGTTGATTTGCGGAGTCACCGGTGAGTTTAAAAGTCCTAAACTAATTGTAATTAAGCATTCATTATAATTAAATTTTTTTTTTTTTTTTATCCGCAAATTGGCGTGTACATTATAATTAATTTAATTCACACCATCTATAGATGACTGTATGCTTAAAAACAAAAAGTTCAAGGAATATATGGAACCAATCAATATGCGAATAGCAAAAGTCACAAAATTTTTAAATGCAATCCACCAAGGTTTGTTATATGAGGTAAATTTACGATTGAGTTTTCATTTCATTGATTAAATACACGTTCTTAGTACTTTTGGTTTTTAGGTTGAGCCAATATACGATGTTTATGGTCCAACTATATCTGATCCAGACATTCATGCTCTTGTTGTGTCCAGAGAAACAGTTTCAGGAGCTGGGCTTAGTACGTTTGTCATCCTTCATATTCGGTGATGTTTAATTAATTATTAACTTATATCCATCCTTAGTAAATGATGAGCGACAAAAACGTGGTTTCGGAGCATTAGAAACTTTTGTTATTGAGGTAATATCTTCTTCGAATCCATCTCTTAAAGAAGGAGAGCTTAAAGATCTTAAATTAAGCTCGACGTACTTACGCGGGTTATGCAAAAATTCCGAGACCAAATGAACGTTAAGCTAATGTTACTTCATTAAAGAAAAATTTATTTATAGTAAAGCACCAATTTATTTGTCTTTATTACATGATTAAATTATGCTATTGTTCAAAGCCACAATCTTACATTTTACAATATTTGGGCCCTGAAATGGCGTTGTAGTTTGTTGGCCTTAATACCAACGCGTGTATCAAAATCATGAGGAATACGTTTATCTTGAAAAGTTGTGATATAATATTGTGCATGTTTTGCATGACCACCTTTGGCGATCAGAACGCCTCCAGAGCGTCGATGATAGTCAAAATTACCGCCAAATTGAGTAATAAGACGGTTTATAATTATAGAATCTCTATTCTGTAAGATAAAATGGTTATCAGTATGATATTATTAGATTGCATAGATATCTTTCTTGATTCTCACCTCTTCAGGACGCAAGTTTTGTTTATAATATCTCCGCATTGAACGATGACCGATACGTGCACCAGATGGTAATATTAATTCAATATCATCTTCGTCCAATAAACCACTACGTTAAATCAATAATAAGTCACATACAGTATAAATTATTCACGTTCAAATCTTTTTTAAAAAATTGTAAACCTATTACATACCCTTTGGAAAATTTGACATTATTCTCGTGGCTAATACTTTCTTCAACATCTTCCCATTCATCATCAATATTTTCCCATTCTTCCGATCCATCTTCGATCGGGTAACTGGATGTAAAGTCGTAGAAATCTACAACTTCCATTATATCCTCATCTCTCTCATAAGCAATTTTGCAGTGCCCTTTATCTAACTATATAGTTTATTATTTATGAATAGAATTAATAGTGGTTATTATTGTCAACAAGCCGATGTATTAAATACACACCATGTGTTGCCGAACAGCTTCAAGGCTTTTTAGACCCTTTCCTCGCCCATTGCAATATAAGCATAAATTTCTAACAGCAATTTTCTCTCCTAAAAATTTGATTAACCCATAAAGATCAACTAAATATTCTATTTCTGGAATGAAAAAACTATGAGCTCTGGTCATATGTGTCAAATTGGTTTCGAAAGACTCGGATTTTTGTGTACAGAAAAGACAATCGACTTCAGTCAATTTAATCTATGTTTAAAATGTTTATAACAATTTAAGCTATAATAAAAACAAATCAATAAGATGATAACGGAGAATAAGATAATCATATACCTCTTCCTGCATATTTTCTTCGTCTTTACGAACATTCAACGTAGTTTTTTTTGCCAGCGCAACTCCTATTGATCGAAACTATTTAGTTTATTACAGACTTCGATATTATTCACTATTTTTTATTTGATTAATAAGAATCACCTTCTTGCGCAGCCTTCATTTCCGCGACTTTATGCTTATTAGAGCGCAAATGATTAGCATAAGCATTTTCAGAATAGTAAGTTTTTCTATGAATATCAAATTTCGAGTGTTAAAAAATTTATTGACTAATAATTTGTGATAAATTCGACTTACTTGCAGGCAATACACTCGGCAGAAAAACTAGCTTTTTCGTCTGCATCCTTGCTTTGCGCTTGTTGAGCTACGAATAGTTTGTAAATTTTATTATAATAATTATACAAATTACCCAATAATGGTTAAACAAGAGTATTACCTAAAACCTTTTGCTCAAATACATTATAGGTTACAGGCGGCAATTCTACAACTTTTCTTTTCAAATTATACCGATGCCAATCAGTTCCATAATGGTTTCTTTGATCTTGAGCAGTGTTAAAAGTAACTTGACAAGCCAAGCATGTAAAGAGTTTAGAACGAGGAAATGGTGCAGAAGCAACAGACATGATTGCAATATTGGTGTTAAGCTTGTTGAATTGAGTATATAATAGTAGGTTTCGGGTAACGGTAAGCGAAAAATTGATGAATTTGATTAATACTGTAATATTGATCTAACGATAACATCATTTCTGTATGTTTATATATGTCACATGCTGAAATGAATTCATAATACACAGGTTACATAAGTTACCGTTACATTGAATGCGCGAATCCAATCAACTGAAACCATGCAAATTGATTGGATCCACACATTCTAATGGGGTAGAAAATTGAAAAGGTAAATTAAATTATGTATTTTTTTAATGGGGAAGTATTTAGTACGTAAAAGTACCTAACTAGAACTCTTTACGTATCTGATAATCAAAGTGGTTAACAAAAAGGTCCTGTCTAGAGACTTATCAAACACCCGGTATACAAAAATTAAACCAATTGTTGAAATTAAATTGGCGGTCGGATTAAATTCAGTTGAAAAAGCAGTTAAAATTAGTCTTTGACAATTCGTTTTCCAGATAATACCTTTTTCCCGACATATCAATTTCCGAAAATATCTATTTCCTGACAGTGTCACTTTCCCGACAATATCTATTTTCCGACATTATCATTTCCCCGACAAATTGGCCCGCATTAGGTTAGGGTAGGGTTAGCTCTGGTCAATTTTGTCAGAATTTTATTTGCCAAAAGTGTTGTCGAAATAGAAAAACTTATTTCTGCAAGTGATGCAAATCACGTGCCAATAATAAAAATTATTTCGCTAAAAGCACGTGAAATTTTGACCAGCGTTGGGGTTAGGGTTAAGGTTGGTATAAGAAGTGTTGTATAGTAAATTTTGGCCAGGAATTTTTTGTTAGAACGTAAAACTGAATTAACGTTACACGAAAATTGCGAAAATTTTACTAATTTTACTGATAGAAATCCCTCAAATTCATAATTCATGATTACTCAAAGATTAAACGAAGATATCTCAAGCAATTTCATAATTTAGATGCTTTTTTTTAAATTCTAGAAACCTGTAGCTGTAGAATTCGAAATTCCACAAATAGTCAATTGTTTCTGAAATATCTGTTTAAACGGATATTTCAGAAATAATCGATCATTTGCGATGTCCAAGGAAAATTTCGAACTCTATATATGAAGACACCCACAACAAAAGCAAGGAATGGGACTATATAATATATAGTCCCATTCCCTGCTTTTGCTATGGGGTCCCCATATATTAAAGCTATGAATATTCTATCATTAATGATACCGTAGCTTAGATGACGACCATACTAAATTTTACAATTTTTACACCTACAAAGTGGTGCGACTAAATGTCTCGCACCATGTTACCACTGGATCTTTAAAAGTTTCGTTAGAAGGCACTAAAATCTTACTGAAAGCAAAATTGACAACATTGTCTTGCTTTAATCCTAACGTTGTTATTCTCACGTATTTTTAGTGTAAACAAACCAATAAATTACCGTAAAATGCTAATCGATGTATTCAGATGTTTACAAGGACTAAAGTTGTACCTAGTCATTCTCCAAGTATAAAGTACTATTAAAATTCGGTTCTAAATGATGATAATGATTCCTTAATTATATATAGTTTCTACTTTATATTATATATATACTGTAAATAATATAATCCTAATAAATTTTTACTTATTGAATACAACCTATAAACTACAAGGTCTATTATTTATGAAAAGTCAGATAATTTATATTTTGAGTCGAGATATGGTAATGATGAAATCGTGCATCCTCTCTTTGAGCCATAACTTCCTACATTTGAGTTCTAATAACATAATCCGTGCACCCGGTGATGGAACTTCGATCTTACTATAATATAAAAGTCATGTTTAGCATTTGAAGGAGCGAAACTTCTATCAATCGAAAGTCCACTACTTCCACCTTCAACATGTTGAACTTGCATTTCAGAATTTGACATGTATAACTGATTGATTTGGTTTAACATTAATAGTGTTGAATTATCATTTTGGAGAGTTTAGGTGATCTAGATGGTTCACGAAAAGTGTAACTAAACCAACAGAATTCTATCATTGCTATAACCATTAATATTTCAATGACTATGCCAACTTTAGGAACAACCTATATGAATGTAAACCAGCATTTACATACATATATTTGTATCTCGTTTGTTCGGCTTTTGTGTGACGATGGAAAGAATGGTCTTAAATAAACGAAAAAAAACATTATTCTTAACGTTCTTGCCTATAAGAAAAGTATCAAATTACATACTCTGCGCCACAAGGCATTACGATCGTTATTATTTTCTTTATTAATAATGTCATTCATTATTCGAGGTTTTTAATAAAAAATTTTCAGTTCTTTATTTCAAAGACTTTTTGGATATTGATATAACCGAGGAATGGAAAAAATCCAAAGAAGCCCCAAATAATGCAGGGTTAGCAAATGACAATGTCATTTAAAATTTTAGTGACAAATGACAAAGACCATTTATTATTTTGTCATTTAAAATAACAAATTTTAATCAATCCTGTACAGGATTTCGAGATTGTTAAGACTTTGGATGCTTTAGGATTCTTACATGTAATTTTTATTTTGTAATATACAATCTTAGTTTACTTTAATATCTTTATATTAGAGTTTACAGTTAAAATTATTAATAAAGATATGAGCAATGCCTCACCTTAATACCAAAAAAAATATAAAAAACTATTATTCGGGTTATTATTAGTCATTGAAATCACGTGATCGGGCTTTTTTTGATGGTGATGCTGTGGAAGGGTTATAATCGTTATCAGGAATCGAAACCTCCCATTCTTGGGAACCTAAAATTAAAAAATAATTAAAATTTTTATCGATTAATTTAAAGATATAAGAGATGTAAATATTTACCGTAAATTTTTAGCAATTTCGAAGATAAAGAATTAATTGGCTTAGAAAGGTTTTTAAAATTAAGCAGTTTACTTGTAAGTTTATCTTTAGGAACAATTGGTAATTCGGTTGATAATGCTAGAATAAATGCATCCGCAGACTGGAATGCTTTTAATATTGCCAATTCATCTTTATTTTCTGCACTACCATTATTTAAAATCTTATACCATCTCTGTAATTCATTATTAATATTAGATGCAGTTGGTCTATCAGAAGGATTAGCATCCATACATTTATTTGCTAACTGGATATAGAACTCAGGTGTGTTTTTAGCAAATCCAGGACGTAATCCATTGCATATTTTTATAGCTAGTGTTTCGTTATACTCCACATCAAAATGAGGAGGTCTTCCTGTAGACATCTCAGTCATAATAATACCAAAACTATAAATGTCAGCTGCTATTGAAT